TGAGGGTTCGGATCCCACAAACAGACCGGTTCGCGCTCACTGGCTGAGCGAGGTGCGCGTGCGACGCTGAGGGTTGCGATCCCGTTGCCGGTCCCGGTCCGGTACGGGCGCGACACTGAGGGTTGCGATCCGTTGCCGGACACGAAAAAAGACAAAAAGGAAAAAAAAAAAAAAAAAGAAAAATATGAAATCTGTTTTACCTTTCCATATTCCATTGCCAGTACTTGTCCTTCTTTGTGTACATCCAAATTTGTATCTAATATCATATTCTTTTTGCCTTAATAACGCCCCTCAAAATTTCTTATAGAGTAGATAAGAGGACAATTAATTACCAAAGCTTGTTTGTTTGTGAAAATCTTTATTTTTTCTTTATTATCAAGACAGTTTCACAGAATACTGAAACTGGTTTTTGTTTTTTTTTTTTCCTTTCTAGGATTTTCTTTAGATTCTTTCTATGGTTTTAATCTTTCTCCTGAAATTACTTTGATGAGATATACAAGATCTACTTGATGTTTGTGTATAATTTTTCAATTAAAGTCTTTAATATTTTAATTATAATTATTTAAAAATTCTGGAGAAATTGTTCTATTATTTATTTATGTCATACCTGAATATGGTTCTGATGATTGCTTTATTGCTTGGAAGTGTGTTGCTTCCCCCACCCCCTTCTGTATTCCTCATGATTTTGTTTTGTTGTTGGAAACCAGACATCTTAAATAGGTCATTAGAAAGTGACGTAAATGCTTTTAATGCCTGGAATTGGGTACATCTTTTCTTCTGCTAGGCCTTTATTATGGGGCTGTGAGTTAATTAGGATGTGAGCTGGGAGTGATACTATTGCTCTAATACCATCAGGGCAATATGGGCTTCAGATTCCTCTAGTAATGATCTGTGTTAATGGTGATAATGGTTTACCAAAAAGTTTTTTTCAAAGTCAGATACATCCTTAGTTTTAAGTTTTCTGTTTAGGCTTCACTTCAGAGACAGTCTGCCATTTGCCAGTTATTTTTTTATTTGGTGGTTGCCAGCCTTTTCACTTGGACTGTGATGGAGGTGGGGTAAAACAGTGGTATTACCTATTATTCTGACTTGGCTCAGGCAAGGCAGGCCTGGTATGACTCATGAATATGCCTTTGTATTGCTTGTGTCCCTCCCCTTGCATATTTCTGAGTAAAAAATATTTCCCTGACTCTCCCTGAATCAGAGAATTTTTTTTTTTCTTCTTTTCTCCTGCCAGCTGCAATGGGATTCTCTCCTACTCTATAGGCAACAGAGTTTGAAATAGGGGGAAAGGCTTCGGTGTTATTCTGTGCCTCCATCGCAACTGCTGCTATTTCTTCTCCCTAGTGTGTTCCATGAGTGAAGACTTCTCAGGACTCCCCTTAACTTCTCTCGAGCATCCAGTGGTATTCATGGAGAAAATGTCTGTAGGAGAGTGAGTGACAACTTGTCCTATATTTATAGTCTCCAGGGCTTTGTCCTCCACAAATTTGTTGAACTCTTCTTTTTGGTCTCTGCTGACATCTTTCCCAAGCCCTTGCTCATATCTCATCTCTCCCTCCAGGACATCTGTCTCCTTAGTTATGAGTACACTTTGTTACCCTAGGAGCTCAGCTCACCAAAGCATTCAAGAAAACCCTTTCTGTTTGGAAGTAAGGTTTGGAGTAATTTTCTTTTCATTTATCCACATACCTGAATGCTGGGAAATTGGATATTTTTATGCAATAAATGAACCTTGATTTATACGTTAAAACATCTATAAAAATTAATTCAAAAATCAATCACAGAATTAAACACAAAGCTTAAAACTATAAAACTTCTAGAATTAAACATAGGAGAAAATATATGACCTTAGCTTAGGAAATAATTCTTATACAGGACATAGAAAATACAAAACTCCTGTAGTGGATGAATTATGTCCCCCCAAACTCACTGAGGCTTGCATTGTGTCCCCCAAGTTTTATGTATTAGAAACTTAGCCCCCACTGCGACTGTTAAGAGGGTGGGAAATCCTATTATGGTAATTGAAAGGTGGAGCCTTGAAGAGGAAATTAGTTTACAGGACCATGATGTATTGTATGGATTAAAAATGATGATCAGTGGCATGGTTCTAAGGGCTTTAAAAGAAGAGGAGAGTCTGTCTTGCTTCCTCTGCTCTCTCTGCTCCATTTCACAATGTGATACCCTGCCTCACTTAAGTCACCACCGAGACCCTCACCAGATGTATTTCCTGGACTTTGGACTTCTGAGCCTCTGAAACTGTAAGCAATAAATTTGATTTTCTGTGTAGATTACCCAGTTCCATATATTTTGTCATAAGCAACAGAAATGGATTATATACCCCCCCAAATAAAACATTGGTAAGTTATCCTTTGGCAAATTCAAAACTTTTGCTCTTTAAAGAACCCTCTAAACAAACAAAAAAGACAATCTACAGACTGGAAGAAAATATTTTAGAACATAACATCTGATTGAAATCTTGTAGTCATTCTTTAAAAAGAACTCTGCTTAGAACTCAATAATCATCAGAGAATCAATAGAAATGGGCAAATGATTTGTGCATAAACTTCTCTACAGAAGGTAGTTGAAAGGCCAATACCCACATGAAAGATGTTCAATATCTTTTGTCATTAATAAATGCAAATAAAAATCACAAGGAAATACCAATAGAGATTCACTAAAATGTCTTTAAAAAACAGAACAAAGAAAGGACAATACCAAATGTTGCCGAAGATGTGAAACAACTGGAATGTTCACATATTAATGGTGGAAACTGATAGGTCAGCAAGACAAACAGAATGAAACACTGAGACAAACATTATCAAGCAAGGGAGTTTACTCCAGAGAACCTGGAAGGGAAACTGAATAATTAGTGTTCAGCCCTCCAACAGACTAGCAGAGACTTTATAGGGTTTGTCTGGGAAGGGTTTGGGCAACTATTCTGAGCACTCAGCATTCTGTAATGGCTTTGAAGATTTTCTGGTTTGAAGAATTTTTTTGTTGTTGTTGTTTCGTACAAGATGTTTTTATCAGAATGCACCAGCGTGAGAGAAAGGGAGGAGGTATGGGGACAGGGTGAGTTGTACCAAATGTCCTTATCAGAACGTACCTGACTTGAGGGAAATGGAGGAGGCAGGGTGA